AATTGGTCCCTCGGCCAAGGAATGGCAACAGGTATTTAATGATCTTAGCGAACGAATCGAAATGCGACGTGGCGCTCTTCAGTATATTAAACGATCCAAATCGGAAATCCATCTTCCCAAACTCCAACCTCCTCCACAGGCGCTAGCGAACAAACTGGCTTGGAACAAGGTTGGAACAATTTTTGCAATTGGAGCCCGCGGTAGAGGTGTTTCAGAGTTTGCTTCACCTCAGGGCGCTATGTTTACCAGAGACTCCAAATTAGTCATTGTCGACAGTAATAATTCAAATGCACAGGTATTAGTTTAACTAATTTACAAAATATTTTTATTTATTTCAAATGGCAGGCGTTTTGATAACTATCATTAGCCACTTAGCTGACTTCGGGCTTCACAGAGGGAAGGTTCATCAAAGTAGCAGAAAGTCGAGGTGTGGAGAACAGAATAGAGATTCGTAGATGCAAGAGAGATAGACAGAAACAAAGGTAGAGAAAAAGGTAAGGTGAGTACTGTGAAAGTGATGGAATATGACATACAGTGGGGTGATGGTAGTTTGATGTCAGAAGTCAACTGTCGGTTTATAGACTTTTTTACCGTATGAGTATACGTTGCCCAGGATGCACCATGTGGAGGTAAGGCTATCGTACACCCCAATTTACAAAATATAAAAACGTATGAAACTGAAACTATATACTGTTCATTACTCCCTATTTTCAAGCTTCTCTATTCATTTTGTCTATTTATAGTCAACATTAATTGAACGCTTCGGCAAAATTATATAAATAAGACATTTTTAACATTGTTTCAAGGAGCATTTAGAAGTGCATATCAATTTTGATATTGCAAAGAATAAATAAATATATCAAAAACAACATTCTAAAAGAGATTTCACATTTAGCGACAAATTTGTCAACCTTAATTTGCTGTCTGGTTTTAAAGAGTGTTACAGCTTCCGGTAACATCAGGCAGTTTGTGGACGTCTTTGACGAAACCATATACGTTTGATAATTGGAGCCAAATCTGTGTTTTCAGGTTTTCAGTTCCCAAGGTGCCTTTCTGTTGCGATTTGGTGCATTTGGATCAGAACCTGGTCAAATGGTTCGTCCGACTTCGTGTGCCGAGACGATCAATTCCAATTACTTGATCTGTGATTTTGATCTTCACTGCATTCATGTCTTCCAACCTTCCGGTAGTTATATTTCCAGATTTGGACAACGAAACCTCTCTGGACCTATTGTGAGTCGGATTTTATTTTCTAGTAACAAAACCAATATTTATTTCAAGACAATGGTGCATGGGCGATTATAATGAGACACTCAGTAGTCCCACACATCATTGGATGACACTACACAAGTATGTCCTTGATGTATAACAAACATCTATCAGAGTCTTGTAGTACAAATGGCATCCAGGCTTAGCAAGGCTGCGTCCAAAATAGTAGGAACACTGTGGATATGGTAAGAAGAGAGTTTGCTGACAGCTCCGAATAATTACGAGTACAGTTGCACGAATGCAAATATCAGGTGTTTATTTAAAACGCGATAGACAACACGATCGTACTTTCTCGATATTTCTATTATGGACGAACACTCTTTGGTCAGCCGCATCCAGCGTATTTCTACTCATAAACCAGATAACAACTTGTTATTTTTAAATACAAATTTCCAACAATTTATCCCCATATTTCATTTAATAATAAAAGATTACTTTAATGCACTCAAGTAATCTTGTTAGATAAATATTTTATGCGCTTAATGACAAGCGGATATCGTTTGTTATTATAAAAATAAAATATACTTTTTGAACTAATTTGAAAACGAATATAGAAATCTTGAATCCAAAAGAAGCTTTCAGGTCAAAACTAATTTACTCTCAATGGAACTTCTTTTTAATAAATAAAATATACATAATTATAAAGATAATATTCTGTCATTGGAATGAAAACGTATTAAAGTATGTGTTATGTACAGCAGGAACAATGTACAAGGCATTTCGACTTGCCTATTGTTCATTATTATTCATTTCTGTCTTCTTTTCAGGACGTAGCAGTAGATAGTAAAGGCAAAATCTTCGTAGTTGATACGAAAGCGTGTACAATATGTTACTTTAAACCGACCGGACGATTTCTAGGTCATTTCGGTTCTCGAGGTGCAGCAGACAACCAATTCACTTCCCCGACTGGCATCACAATTGATTCCGCTGATCGGATCTATGTGGTGGACTCCCAGGTACATTCAATAAAAGTGTTCGACAAAGACGGGGAATACCTATTCAAATTCGGAGTGAATGGAAATGAACCTGGATGCCTTCATTTACCCACACGAGTGGCCTTTGATGGAACAAACTTGCTTTTCGTCAGTGATACTGGAAATAACCGCATTCAGGTAAGCGTTCGGAACCCAGTCCCATTTTAAGTTAGTGAATTAGCAGTTACATTGAAAAATATTTTTTCTAGAGAAGGGATATATAGTTACGTTGCCTTTTGGAATATAATTTTAACAGTTTTCCATTCATCATCAAATGTAGCCTTTTGAAAGGGAAAAAATTGAAGTAAATCAAGTTTCAAAATGCATGCCTTAGAAACCTTGTTCACAAGTGCGCTCATTTCGAAGATACAATTCATAATTCTCCTAGAATCTCCTTAACCGTGTTTTGCTAAGCGCTGACCAATACAATTCAACAGTCATATCAATGAAAGGAAAATACGAAAATTGTCATTTCGAAAAAATGATTTATCAGAGGTGCCTATTTTTGCTTCATCACATATACATACCATTTAATATTGGAATTAAATAATTTGTTGAAAAAAGTCATATTGACTGTTTTTTCCTTCTTTTTCGAGAAAATTATTCAAAATTTAATAAAGAATCAAATAGTATTTATTCAAACAGCCAAACAATGAAATGGAACGAACGGTGTGAAGGCCCACATAGGTTAACCTAAAACTAATATTTTCTGGGGAACTCTAATTAGTAAGTCAGATAAAAATCGCTTTTCTTTCTGAAATTACGATTGAATGAAACCTAAATTTTTCGGGTTCATTTAGGATATTTTTTGTAATTGTACATTTCCAAAAAAGGAGTAAATTTAATAACATGTACGCAATGAACTCTTTTGTTATAATTCTTTCATGGGTTCTTATGATTGCAAACTATTATCCCCATATTTGATTATACTCAGAAATGACCATCGATTTTTATTAGTTTGGTTACCGGATCAAGAAATAAGGTTACTTTTTTCATCGCAAAAGACTTTCAAAGAAAATTTGATGTAGTTAGCTATGCACTTAAAATGACTTATTAAATAAGACAACTTTGGAGTTCAAACCTACTAGCAATCTATTATCGCTACAAATTCTTCCATATTCACTTGAAGCATTGATTTAGTTTGAAATTTTATTTTGTTTCAGATATTATTGTATTATTCTAAATTTACCACTGAAAAGTATGTCCAAGTAATCAACTACGTTAATTGGACTTTTTTTAACAATGTAGTATATTTGCTTCAGAATATTTATTTATTTATTTCAAATGGCAGGCGTTTTGATAGATATCATTAGCCATTTAGCTGACTTCGGGCTTCACAGAGGGAAGGTTCATCAAAGTAGCAGAAAGTCGAGGGGTGGGGAACAGAAGAGCGATTCACAGATGTAAAAGAGGCAGACAGACACAAACTTAGAGAAAAAGGTAAGGTGAATACTGTTGAAGGGGTCGACTATGACATACAGTGGGGTGATGGTAGTTTGAAGTGAGAAGTCAACTGAGTATACCTTGCCCAGGGTGCACCACGTGGAGGTAAGTCTATCGCACACCCCTTGTTTCAGAAGATAAAATATGCTGTAAGAGTACATGGAGGCCCA